ATTTTGCAAAAGGGATTCCCAACAAAATATTAGTCTAAATAAGGCAAGTTTTTTTTGAACAAAACATCGAATTCTTTTATCTGACAGCTTATTTTTGCAGRYGGCTTAATTATATGAGCACGAAAAATACATACCAATGAAGAAGAAAACAGATTTTTGCTTTTACATTAAAATTTACCTTTAAAAAACTATAAGTACAATAAAGTTTAAGTACTTTCTTTTAATTTTGTGAAACTTTTTTTTCCGATTTATCAATAAAATTCAACTTTTATGAATTTGTACACCATAACGTTTATGTGGCTTAATTGTGTGAGCACAAGTGTACAATTGCACTGAATGAACTATGCACAAAATTTATTTATAAACAAATCCAACGAAAACCAAACTCATACTTATTTATATTACGAACAGGGTATTTAAATTATCTATAAAAAATAAATATAAATTATCAGTATTATAAGGTGTGTCGATTTAGTCATGTCTGTCCGTCCGTCTGGTGCAAATTGCCAACACTCAGTTTTCGAGGTATTTTTCTGAAATTTTGCTCACCAAGCCGTAAAGATCATTTTAAAACTTTTTATGCTATAAGTAAGGAGGATGAAATGTACTATAAATGTATAAATGTATTCTTTCATGTCGAAAGACAATTTTCCATATTTAAATAAACACTTTGAAATATAATATATTATACATATGTATGTATATCACATATCCGAAAAGAAAATATGCATAAAATATATATTGTATAGAGATATGTAGTTGGTATTAAAATAAATTGCTTCTAAGGAAAAAGGATTCAAAAAACTGTTTACTATAATTGTGATAAATATATGATATGATATTCATCAAAATCTTCGCAGTTGTAATATAATATATAATATGAAACTCTACTTGCTGCAATAAATTTGAAAGGAGAAATCCCACAAGCATAAAAAGGAACCGAAAGGCTTCTGCCACGGCTTAAGTTAGTTTAAAATGCACGTGATTTACAATACGTGATTGGATTCGGATGTAAGTCGCACAGCCGCAAGGCAACATACGGTTGCAGGCACAACCTATATGTAACAGACTTACATGCATACACATACAAATTTATATATGCAGGCGAAAGGAAGTGTACATTCCGCATATCCTTCCACGTGCGGTAAATAGCGTCAATGGGTTTTTGCAGATACATTTTTCAGTTCGAAATGTTGTGTGAAATTTAGGTGTTAATTTGTTTGATTACCAGTTTGTGTACTGCATATTAGAATAAATAGTTACGAGATTTTTATACCGAAGAAGACTGAGAGTGTACAAAATGAACACGCGTAAATATTAAGCAGAGTGAGTAAAGATAAATATAACTTTATCTCGTTGCTCCAACCATACATACATACATATACATATATGTACACACATAACATTGTAAACAGTTTATGTTTATATATTGATCACATATATATAAATGTGTGTATATTCAACATTTTTATATTATATACAAGAATTGTGTGAGTTTTAATGTATATTGCACACACATGACTTTGCGCTTTATGCTTTCCAAAAATACTTACAAAATCGATTTTTTTGCCGTTACCCCTCTTGTTATTTAAGGCATATACCGCACTACCGCCGAAATGATGGATTTATTACAGACATTTTTAGTTTATGTATTTGCAAGGCAGGTGCACAACGAATTTCTGTATTTTCTTGTTTTGTATATGTAGGCATAATAACAAAAAGGTATTTGGAGATACAATAATATTCTTACTAAAAATTCTTAAATTACTTAAGGTTATAGAAATGTGAGGTTTTTCGGTTGCTTATGCATTTTGTACACACTTCTAATGTGAATATATGAATTTTCGATAACCCATTGGAAATGCTAGCAATTTTTCTCTTCCAGCCCTGCGGAAATCATAAAGAAACAAATTTCGGTTCTTTATAAAAACAGCTACAATTGTTGGTATGCGTGTACGTACTATGTACATATGTAGTTATTAATAGATGGTACAAATCTTGTCTTATCGCAAATTATAGTTTACAAAAATATATTTTGGTTTGTTTGAACATTTTTGTTTAGTATTGGGAGCGCGAAGAAATGTAATATGTTCAGTGTCATAGAG